ATTAGAAACAGAAATTAAGGCCAAATAATTAGATCCAAATGATCCTAAAGCAAAACCAAAAGAACCACCTGAATAATTCAGTTATAGAGGAAATTTTGGTTAATATAAAGCAAAATATGATAAAAAAGCAAGTATGATTCTTATACTATTTAAGAATGTTATTTTGTTTTACTCTCTAGATTCAAAATTAAAGAAGATCCATAAATTAAACTTTTAGAAGCATTATATGATGAAATATAAAAAGTAGATAAATATATTAATGTAAAAATTTTAATGAATTTTAGTTAAAATATGATGTTTTAGAAAGTAAGAAAAAAAAAGAATTAGAAAGGATAATAGATGAGCATGAAAAGGAATTAGCAAATCAAGTGAGTTAAAGATTTATAGACACTAAAATGTTAGAATCAAGATTAGGTTTTATTCATTCTCCAGAGAGAGTGTCAAACAATAACTTGTCTTCAAAAAAGAGTTCAATATTTATATCTAATTAACTTTAATAACCTTAATAATAGTAATCACAAATCAACTCTGCATAATGTTTACAATAACCATAAATTACTCAATTATAAAAATAACCAAATAAAGAAGAAAATTTATTTAAATCAGAAAAGTTATAAATTAATGATAATCCTATTATTGATGATAATGTAGATGATACTGAAAATATCCCAAATTATACAGAAGAAGGTTAATTAGCATAAAGAATTAATTTGTATTATACCAAGCCATTAAAAGTTTCTTAATATATTAAATCTGGGAATTGAATATCTATAAATATTTCCATTTATTATAATCTAATTAATTTAAATTATTGTTTTAATATTATATTTAAAAATATATTACTTTTTCTCATTAAATTTATTTCTAATCTATCAAAATATCAGTATATTTATTAATGATATTTTGATACTTTATCTTTGATTTCTCTTTTTAGATCTCATTAGTAATTTTATATTATGAAATTAAATTAAATCTATTATTTTTATTTATTTAAATTTAATGAGAATTCCAAATTTCTTATTTCTTTTATATAAAATTAAAAAGATTATAAATTTGGATCTATGACAAAAATATTCTAAATAATTTTACAAAATATTTTATATAAGAGTATAAAATAACAGTTTTTATTATTTTAGATTACATCTTCAAACATATATCTGATAGAACAGGAGAATGAATTGATAAATATTAAGTTTATTAAAAAAATTATTGAAATCATTTTCATATTATATCAATTAAACATATATACTAAATTGAATTTAGGAATAAAAGTGATAAAAAGGTTATAGAATAATTTATTTAATAATTTAAATAGAAATGTAAAGTATTGAACCTGTAGCATTTGAAGTTTATGAAATGCACTCTTTATTATGACAATAATTTAACAAAAAGAGTAATTTTTATGAAAAACAATATAAAATTTTATTATTGATTATTAATTCCTAAACTTATGAATATTTTAAGAAATGATTTACATCAATCTAATATACTCTATTCTTTCAAAATATTAGGAATTACATATGTATCGATTGGACTTATAAGATTGTTACTTAAAACTAAACTCAAGAAATAACCAATACTATAATTACCATAATTAGAAATATTTTGCTCATTATCACTTTCAGCATTTACACTTGGGAGATTGAATTCAAAAGAAATGAAAGAATATGATAAACTTTAATTGAGATAAATTCAAAAATAAAACTAATTGGAAAGGTATAAACAAAGCTTTAGAGATTATAAAGAAAATGTATAACTATGGACGAATAGTTAGTTTTGGCATTGACATTAATATTAAAAATAATATGATATCATTCTATTTGTTTAGGTTCCTCTTTATTTTAGTTTTCCTATTCTATATTTAATTTTTGTTATTCTTCCTCATTCTTAATAGATTAATCCTCTAAAGCATCTTATGATTAAACAATTTCCTCTTAAATTTCTTCTTTTTCTACTTCATCATCCTCTTTTATTTAAACCTATTCTTTAATAATTTCCTAAGTTTCCTCTGATTTTTATTCTTATAATTTTTATGGATCTTCTTATATATCCAGGTTATCATTTAATTATTCTAAATCTTGAACTTGATCTTTAGATTTATCAATTAGGATATTTGAATCTTTTTGATTTTCTTATTCATTTAAATTTGATTCTTATTCTTCTTATTAATTTTCAACAATTATCAAATTCTTTTCTTAATCCGTTTAGTTAATTTCAATATTTTAACTTTCAATAACTTCTTCAAGATCTTTTTAAATTTCTTATTCTTCATGTTTAAGTTATTCTTTTTCTTGAATTTATTCATCTTAATTTTACTTTTCTTCAGAATCTATTTAAATTTCTTCATTAATTTCAAAATCTTCATTATCAACATCTTTTGGTTATATAACATCATTATTATCATAGCTAATACATTTTCTGATTCCTTAGATAATATGATTTTATTCTTAATTTTCCTCTTAAATATTTGGGCTATTAATTTCTTCTATAATTTTTTATTCTTTTTGTCTAGGATTAATACCCAAAATCCATTCTTACTCTATTTTATTTACTCTTTCTAATCCTTTCATATATTCATCCCAATCTATTTATATCTATTTTACTAATAGAATAAAACAATTTAATACATAAATATTAACTGAATTGAAATGAATTTAATTTATTTTTATTGCTATTTAAATAATTAGATAATCTTGTTAAAATTCCTTAGAATCCGTATTTATTTTATCTAGCTTTTTCATCATTATTCGAGATAATAAACTATAAAAGTTAGGCTTCATCTAATATCAATCTGTATAAGAAATCATTATTTTTTTCAAAAAGCCCAACAATTAACTTTTCAAATAATAAATGTAATTAATTATTATTAGGATGTAATTTCATAAGATTAATAATTTCACAAAATAATTCAGCAGTAAAATGACAATAGAATTCTGATTTTTAGATTAATTAAACTATTAATTAGATTATAAACAATTTAGCATCTCCTAATGGTCTTACTTCATTTCTATCTGAAGAAATAAATGGAATTAAAAAAATATCAATTTATTTTATTGCTTTTTCTAATAATTAAATTACTGGTTAGTAAAGTTAGATTAAATTGATATTAAATTCATTTGATTAATCTGAAAGTTAACATTTATTAAGAAATTCAAATTAAACATTAAGAATTTGATAAACTACACTCTATTATGTATCTAATGCTAAATTCATAAAAAATAGAGGTGTTATTGTAATTGTAAATTAAACTAACATATTTTTATATTCCTATTTCTAATTATCGAATGAATTAATAGATTTTCTATACAATTCTACAAATAATTCACATATATTTCCAACAATTACTTAAGAATGTTATTTCCCTTTTAAAAAAATAACCAGTCTTTAAAGTAAAGCTAATCTTTCATTCATATATTAAGTTGATTAATCATAATTTACTTCCATGATTATTAACTTCTCAAAAATATCCACAATATGTTTTAAATAAGAATGTTTAAATAAATTTGAAATGATATCTGGATAATGCTTCAAATGTTCCCAAAACTTATTATTTATTATAATTATTTACATAATGTCCTTTCTTGTTGATTATTGAAATAATAACTTTAGCAAAATATCCTGCTGTAGTTATTATTATAGAATCACTCTCAAGCAATTTTAATAAATTATCCAATAAACCTGCTCTAATTATCTCATTCTCTTGTATTTTATTATTTTATTCAAATTATTCTATTTATTCAGTCTCTTCATTATCATCAATTGGATTTCTTACATCTTCTTATGATTCCTCAGTTGGTTTCTCAAATAAAAAGTTAATTAATTTATCATTTTCAGATCCCAATATCTCACTTCCATAAAATGGATACTTCACACATCTATTTTTTTCCGTACATTAATCAGGAATCTCTTCAACTATATATTTGATCATCTTTAAATATTCTTAGGGATGTTTAATTAAGCTAAAATCATATAGATATTATACAAATCAGCAAATTTTAAAGAACTTGTTCCTTTCAATTCTTGAAGAATATCATCTTCATTAAAAATACACTCAATTGTTAGATTATCTTTCTTCAATAAATTATCAAATTTAGGTTACTAACCAAATCCAAAAAACCGTCCAAAGCTTTATTAACTTCAAATTTTACTTGAAAAACATCTATCAATTAGATTATATTATTAAATATTTATTAATTATATATCATTCACTTTTCTTTATTTCTATTACATTTTTTGATTCTTTATTTTTATAATTTTCTTTATTCAATAATTAATTATGTATGAATTTATATTACTAATAATATATTTAATGATTATAAACCTATACTTTAAATAAACTAAAAAAACAACTTATTTTCTAATTTCTTTTTTTTCATTTTGCTTTACTCAATTCTAAAAATTGAATATGGGTTTGAATGAATAATATCTATAAGTTAATTTATAAAATAGTAGCCCATATAAATAATCTTAAAATTAATTCAATCAAAATAGCTTTTCTGAATTTGTTATTATTTTTATATTTTTATAATAATTAATTATAAAAAATTATAAAACTCTATTTAAAATAGTTATTATTCATTTTCTACTCTTAAATTAATATCAAAGAGGGAAATCATATCTTAAAAACTGATATAATTATTAGAAATTACTCTACGATATGTGTATCAAATATAAGAAGATTTAAATTTGGCTTATACTTGGAAATTAAATATGTCAATTTTTAGAGGGTTCTAAAATTTATTTGATTGGATCATCTTAAATCTATTAAAGAAAATACATTGAAATTATTATGTAATTACAAAAAGTATTTAATAAGTTTTATGAAAGATTGAAAAAGCCTAGCATTAATTGATTTCTGAAATTTTAAGAAAAGGATGAAATTCCTAATAAAATAAAAAATAATTTATAATATTATTTAAATTTAAACATTGTATTCATTTTTTTAAATTAAATAAAATAGTAGAATTTCAAAATAAATAATAATAAAACTTTAATCTTTTTTATAGTTTAGATCATAGAGGTTACATAATTATTAAAATAAAACATATAAATGTCATTAATTCTATATTGAAGGACTTATTGATCTATCAGTATTTAAAACCTATTGAATTGGAGAAAGTTTTCTTGTTAGATTTTCTAATTAGGCAATTAATTTATCATAAAATTAAACTTCTGGACAAGAAGTCTTACTATTTTTATTATTTTTTGTTTGACTCATTTTTAATTTGATATCTACAATAACATTCTAAAGTTAAATTTATATTTATTAATGTAATTATTATTTATTTTCTTATTTTTGTAATATGTCATTATATTGTTTTTTGAAATATTCAATTTGTCTCTTTAATATATCAATTTCTTAATTCTTAATTATAACTTACCCATTTGCTTATCTAACTTATCTAACACTCTCATCATCTATTTTCATTTATTTATTGAGATCTTCTTAATTGTTTTATGCATATATCATTTTAGCTAAATACATAATATCTACAGTTTAATTATAATGCAATAAAATGGGATTAATAGTTAATAAACAATAATATTTAAATTATAATGTTGGTGAGTGATTGCAAATTTTTCTTAGAAATTTAGGAAATTAACATCTAGGAACAATAGGAATAGTGGTTATTATAAATTATTATGTGTAAATTTAATCTTTAAATAAGATACTGTAAGTTATTGTTAATTATCTTATTTTTTCTTTCCCTAAAATCTTTGCTTATTGATTTTTACCATACAAATAAAACTTAATATTTTAAATAGTTAATTCCAATTATTATAAATTTGAATTTAAGTTTTCATTATCTATTTCTAAATCTTTACTCAATTAATCTAGAGTTGACCAATTATTTCCTATTCTTTCTTAATATTAAATTTATAATCTAAGTTTATAATTTTACTTTAGCTTTTATTCTTTTATATAATTATAATATAAATCAAGAAACATTAATAATAAATATTTCTTTTATGTTTCTAATTGAAATATATATAAATAAATACTTGATTAACCAACAATAAGAAACATTCTACTTTAATCTAAACTTATTTTGCCATAAAATTAAAAATATTGTCTCACTTTTTGAATATCAAGAAATACATCATCAAATGTGAATGTTTCATAAATTTATTTTTCAATTCTTGTTTTACCTTAAGAATAAAATTTAATTTATCTTTAAATAATAATATAATTATTATACTTTCTATTAAATTCTATATATGGAAATTAAAAGTTCTTAATTGATTTTACAACCAAAAATAGTTCAATTTAATTCAATTAAATCATAGTTGTAGTGTTGATTTAAGATATTATTGTTTAATTATTATCAACACTTTTATTTCTTGTTTAATTTAGTAAAATTTAAGATTGAAGTTATTCTTCTAATTGATTTTATTCTTCTTAATGTTTTTCTTATAGTTATTTCATATCATTTAATTAATGTATAAGATCATCATTTTATAATTACAATTATTTAATATCTTTTTTTAAATTTTCTATTAACTCTTTCATAAATACATTTTCTCTTTATTAATCATCTAGTTATTATGATTCACATAAATTTAATCTAATATTCAATAATTCTAATACTGAAATTATTTTGATTTTCTTGGTTAAGTTTACTCAAATAAACTAACTCTTTTTCCTAATCTTTCCTATGGATTTGATTTTTAATTAGATTCCATTTTCTTTTATAATAGTTTATTTTATTATTTTAAACTTGAAACTTCTTTTTCATAATTTTTCAATAATGAATCAAGATCCTCATTCTTTTTCCTTAATATATTAATAATTAAAGTACTTCATTTATTAATATTAATCATCTTTTAAATTGGATACATCATTATTCAACCACATAGATCCAGATAAGCTGCCTTCCACTTATTCTGACTGTGTACTCTTTTCCAATAATTCAATTTAGTTAGTACTATTTTCTTAATCATTTAATTCAGGTTTAATTTAACATTATTAATCAACAAAAATCTTATTTTAAAATATTTCCAATTATTGTTTTAATATAATCAATTCTTCTCTATAATTATATTAAATTTATATTCTTACTCTAAATTAACAAATTTATCATCAGATGTAAAATCAATTAATTTTTAATAATATTCTTCTGCTGTATTTCCTTAAGGTTGATACTATTTATTTTAAGATATAAATGCATTAATCATATCTTTCATGTTTTATATTTCAGATTAAAATTATGATCTTTCTTATTTATATTAATGAATTTCTCTTTAACATTATTCTTTATAATTTAGATATTCAGTTCTATTTTCAGAATATTCTGATTATAATTTTTATAATTTTAATGGAGATTCCTCTCCAAGCTATTATTAAATTTTAAGTTATGTTTCCAAATCTGCAATAATCTCTTATTTTGATATGTTATCAGATTTTAATGTTTCAATTTCTTATTTTAAAAATTAATTCTATGATTGAATATCCTAAAATTATAAATTATTATTATTAATTTATTATATTTCTTATAAACTAAGTTGATATTGATCTTAAAGTTATTCATTATTTTCTTTTTATTTATTTAATTATTCTTATAATAATTAACATTATTAATTAAGCATAATTAATTATTCTTTGCATAATTCATAATCAATTAATAATTAACCTTATTCTGCTAATGCTTCATCTTTTTATTACAATTATTCTTGTACATATTCCTTAAATTATTCAAAATCCTCTTTTAATTCTAAATATTAAGTCTCAAATTTATTATTAATTTTTAATTCTTCTAATTCTTCAGTCTTTGAATTTAGTAACATTTAAAGCTAAACATTATCTTATTACAATAAATCAAATTATTATAGAGTTTATTAAGCTAATTAATATTCAGTTGATAATTTTTATCTATTTTAAATAACATCAGCATATTTTTATTCAAAAGTAACTAATTCCTCTTCAAGTGAAGATATTTTTGCTGATGCTTCACTGATTTCTATATTTTTCTATTCAATATCTAATTATAATTCCTAATTTATTTGATTTAATTATTGCAATTACTATTTTAATTATTTAATTTCATCTTTTTATATTTCTATTTTTGTTTTATTATTTTCATCATCTTTTTATAATTCCATTATCATATTCTACATCTATTCAATTTCTTCATTATTTTATGAGTTCTATTCACTTTATAATGAATCCATTGGATTTAAAAGAGTACCAATATTATCAACCTAATTTTGTTAATTCTATTTTAATTCATCAATATCAGCTTCTAATTTAAGTTTTTCTTATTCTTAACTTTCTAATTAATTTGATAACTATTCAATCCTTTATTGTAATTGTTAAATCTTATTAATTTTAATTATTTACTTCAATTTATTGCTTCTATATTAAATCTTCATTACTTTCATTGTTTTTGGACTCAATTTTCTATATTGCAATTAAATTTATAAATACTTAAGAATTTAATAATATCTCTTAATTTTATATTTGAGATTGCTCTATCTATATTTTCATTTAATCTATTTCTTTATTATACCTTTATATTAATAAATAATACTATATTGTTAATTCACTTTTATCTTATTGTAGTTAAGAAATTATGTTTTATAATTTTTCAATTTCTCCATCATTTTGATTATTTTCTAATGTTTCTTTCTTCTAATTAATCAAATTATTCAATTCTTCTTAATGATCATGTTTTAATACTTCAATTTCCAAATTCTTATCATCTAATTAATTTCTAATTTATTCTATATTTTTTACTTTAGTTCAGATAATTATTATTAAAGTAAAACAATCTAACTTTAAAATTGCTCTATTTAATTTTAATTATGATCAGTCTAATTATTATTCTAATCCATTCCTGCTAGTTTAATTTTAAGAGATGAAATTTCTTAATCTTTTTTTTGGAGATTTGCTTTAATCAGTTTTATTTCATCATCCTTGCTTTAATTATCACTTTCAAGCATTTCTACCATTTCTTTTAAACTAGAAATTATTAAATTCTTTTACTCATTAACTTCTGATTTTAAGCTATCCAATTCTGTTGACATAAAAATAATAAGTTTTATTTAATTAAGATGAAAAATACACTCATTGAATCAAAACTGATTTTAGATAATTTATTAATTTATTTTCTATTATTATATATTAAAACCAATTCAATCTAGCATTCATCCTTTTTTAAGATCAAATTCAACATTATTTTTGGATATTTTTAAATAAAAATGTTATATTCTAATCAAAAAAATATTAAATATAGTATATAATAAATTTAAATATATTCTTGTTATTGAACTTCTTCAATTTTTAGATCAAATATTAAATATTAAACCTTTTTTCAATAAAAACTAACACTTTTTTAATTATATATAAATATTATTCTTATTAATTATTTAATAATGTAAAAATAATAAGATGAATAGCAGGATGGTTTTGTGAGTTTTATGCTGGAAAAAGATGATTCTTAACTAATTAATCATGATGAAACATTTCTTAAGGAAAACAATAATTAGGACTATTATTTATAATTGAGTCGACAGTTTTATGGCTAAAGCTAAAGAAAAGATAGTACTTATGTTACAATAACAAAAGCTAAAAAATCTACATAGATAAATCCAGGTGTGTTGAAATAAAAAATTATATAAAGAGCGATTATTACAAATACATAAAGAGGAAAATTTGCTGCTTCTGTACCTACTGTCAGTGAATAATTGTAAAAGGTATTAGTTTCTTGTAATTATCTATTCCCCTATTATAGTAGATCTAAAAGCTCTTATCGTCAAGTAAACCTAAAAAGTAACCAAACATCTAAACTAGCTTTAACAATAAATTTACATTAAACAAATATATTAGCTAAATAAAAAATTCTAACATCTAACAGCATCCTTTTAAGCTTAATTTACCAATCACAAATTAAAAAATAAATATATATGAACCCAGAACACATAGACTAAGAATAGAAGATTCTAATTAAGACTAATTAAATCAATTTACATAAAATTCTCATAGAAGTACACTAAATAGTAGTACAAAAAGCACAACAAAATTAGAAAAAAATTATGATATTTCTTATCCAATTAAAACTGAAACAGGAGATGACAATAAAATAAATATATTCAAGATTTCATATAGAAATAAATAATAATGAATGTAGTATCCGTAATTTTGATTTTTCAATAAACATTCAACAAAAATATGCATTCATTTATATAATAAATTTATAGTTAAAAATTAATGAAATTTCTCTTAATATAGTCTTCCATATTTTCTTTTAAATGATCATAGAAAGAAATAATGCTTAAAATATATTAATTTATTGAAATTTATTTTACTTGTTGTATCTAACTTATATCAATACTCTGCGTCTATTTGAAGAGGTATTAATTCTTGATATATATATATTTCTAGAAAAACATAAATCCCTTATAATCCTAAAAATTTAAGTTTAATAAAAAAAAATAAAGATAATTAGACAAATTAATTGGTATTTAAAAATATAAAACTTTAAAAGAGCAGATATTAATATGCTTTTGAAAATAAATCATCTTGTGAAAAATTTTCCTCCTTCTTTGTTTCTAGAGTAACCTGGATTAGTGCTCTTTGAATGTGCATCATTAAATACATAAGGTGATTTTCCAATTCCAGGTAAACAATAACTAAAAATATATTTATAAATATTACTGATTAAACTCATACTATTTAAGTAACTTTAATCTTTTTAAGTTTTACACTTAATTCAATAATCCTTTATGTTTTAAAATAATATCTCCATTCTTTACGATGTCATCAATAATATGATTTTATATAGCAGCTTTAGGTACTGAATTTGTTCTCTCATCAAATAATAATGTTTATTAAAGATTTTTTAATGTAACAGTTTTCTTATTTTGATGATTAATATTGATTTAATTCTAATTCTAAATATTTTATTTTTGAGTTTAAACATCATCAGCAAATTAGACAGTTTAATTAGGTTTTTCATTTTTCATTTAATTTTATTGTAGTAATCCTGTATTATGGGCTGTTCTACTTCTGTTTTTGTCTGTATCAATAAATTTATCCAAAATTGAAGTTTTCGGTTTTGCTTAATCTTTTAAGATCAATTATTCAACAGCATTAGGTTAAACAGACATTTAAACATTATATTTGTCATTCACTTACAAAGGCTCATTTTAGTATTAGAATGTTGGTTAAGTTTTATTGTGTATTAATCTATAATTTTTAGCACTCATAATAATAATTAATTATAATATAATTTTTCAATTCAGCATTTCCAATAGGTAATTTTAAGCATCTATAACTGTTTATTTAGCTTCTTTCATTCCATTAATTATATCAAATGATAAAAATCCATGAGGCATAGATTAATATTCAATCAATTTAACATCTTTTTTCAATAATACAAGCTTTTACAAAAACCTAAAACTTTCATCATGAAGTGGGTCCTAAGTTCCTACAACAATTCGAGTTTTAGGAAATTGTCTCATAATTTCATCACTAACTATAGAAGGTGAGAGCATTGGATCAATTTATGTATTATATTCCTTCTTTACATAAGAACGTATACATAATTTCAAAACTGTATGATGCAATACTAACTATAATGAATTTTTTTACAAGAATCATCTAGTGACACTAAAAAACTAGGAGTGAATGTTTTCATATTTAATAAAAGAGCAGGATAAGCTAGTAATATACCATCAGGAACTCTGACTCCTGCCTTTATTGCTTGGATAGTCAAAGCAGCCACTAAATTACCCCCAGCACTATCCCCAACTAATACTACTTTAGACGGAATAATATTGAAAAACTTCTAGATGAAGGTGATAATAAACATATAGGCTTACCAACAATCATCTAATCCTTCTGGGTATGGATGATCTGGTGCTATTTTATAATCAATAGAAAATATCGGAACTCTCATATTATTAGCCCATTTTCTAGTATATGTTTAATGTGATCTTGATGACATAGCAACAAAACCTCCTCCATCTATATTTATAATTATTAATTACGTATATGAATAATAATCTTATCAAAATTAAACTCCTTATTTCTGGTACTTTTAAACATTGACATAAATCCATCTACACCTTTAAATTTTAAATTTTCATGACAGAGAACTCTTACTTATACTCTGTCTTAATTTATATCATTTTTAAATAAATCATCTAAAGATATCATTTAATCTGGATAATATATACCACAATCATTATTTATTTAATTAATTGTTCCTTAATTATATTATTTTAAGATATATTCTTAATTAATCTTTCTGAATAATTTTGGTATGTAAATCTTCTTATTAAAAGAAATGGAAGGTAAAATAGCTGGAAGAAATTTCTTAAGTATACCAGTATCAGGTAAATTCCATGCTTTAAAAGCATCTTCTTCTTTTGCTTCTACAAGAAAATGATCTGCTCTACTTTTCATCTTTTTCTTATTTAATCCATAATATAATGCTCCAAATCCCTCCATTAATGACTTTTTTAATTCTCCATTATATTCGGATCCTTTTGAGATCATTGCATTTCCAAGTAGAATACCTTAAGCAACTTTATCATAGGACTTCTTTATTTATTCATCACTAGACAATTATTTTTTTTCGATAAATGGATAAATCATTTACCAATCTTAATGATCAAAAGATATTGCAAATAAATCATTATGCTAAACTTTTGTAGCTCCAGGTAGAATTTCAATACAAGACTAAAATTTAGCTAAATATATAGCAAGATTTCTTTTCTATTATTTCTCTAACTATTAAAAATTATCCAATAAATCTAAAACATTTTCTAAGATTATGTGATTCATATAATCTAGAACTAAATTTGTTGTATATTAATTTAACTAGTGTCTTGTGCATGTAATATTTAAACTACTAGCACTTTTTTCAATAGCTAAAACTTTGTTTTCAAGTAATTCATTAATATTCATAATCTACATCAATCCAATTGATGCCACTTATACTACTTATACAGCTTTTAAACATAAATCTTGATTTTAATGATTTTTCTAAGTTATATCTTAAGCTTTTATCATTAGTTGATTTAACTTAGAGATAGAACTTTAAATGGTAACTTATAATTTATCTACAGTATTCATAGATAGTATATTAAATTAATGATTAGATTCAATTAATACTTCAGTCTAATCTTACAAATTATTTTGTTCTATTGTTTACATTCTCTTTATAAATTAATTAAAATCTTAAAGATTAATTTTAATAATTTCAAGATTAAATTATTCTTAATATTATAGAAAGATTAAAAAAAAAAAGATGAATCCATAATGGATAATATTTTCATTTCATTTTCATTTTCTTTTTCAAACTTTATATGAGATTACTAATATAATAATAATTATTATTATACATTGTAATTCCTTTTCTAATTTTTTCATATTTTTATACTAAAGGTTCTTAATGCTCTCCATTTTCAATAATTTCAATACTTCCAAAATTGGAAATCTTTTCATCATCAAAACTTTATTATTTATTTTATAAAATATCTTATTTGCTACCAAATTTATCATCACAAAAAGATTTCTAATAATTTGGATTCAATGATTAACAATAATTTCCTATACTACTTTGTTAAGTCAAACTAGAATTCTTTCTAATATCATCTCTTTAAAAAGTATTATTTCTAGAAGATAATGGAGGAGGTGCTAAAAAGTTTTAAGAACTTAATTTTAATTATTACTGTTACCCATGTTAAATAGCACCTGATAATTATTTTTCAATTGATTTTTTCATCTCATTTGAATTATTAAACTAAATATTTTTTTTACTTAAATTCTAATTTGTATCTGTTTAATAATGAGTGGATTATCTTATTTCAGACCATTCATAATTTCCATCTAGAATAATATTTTAAGAATCTGCTGCTTTCCTGAGTTCTTATAATATCATTTTATAATCTGGTTCTTATTTAAATTGTAATCTTCTTATTGTACTATTTTAAAATAAATAGAAAAATTTACTTATAAATTTTCTAAAACTCTGGAACTTGATCTCTAAACAATTCATTTTCTAGTGATAACTTCAATTCTCCAACCTTTTAAGTTCTTTCATCGTCTGTCACATTGGCCATGTTCTACCAAGGTAACTACCTTATTTATAATTGTTATTTACCCACGTAAAAAATAGAGTAAAATATACATTAAAGACTCTAAATCATCTTTTCGTCCTAATTCATGACCTAAATGAGCTGCTATTGATGCATACCGAGTGGTTCCTAAAAAGGACTTTTAATCCTTGAAAATACTAAATTCTATTTGAATAATTACATATGTCTTCCATTTGCATCTCTATAGACTTTGCTAATACCAAAATCAATTAGATATAACTTAGAAATTTCATTCCCTATTCCTAATATCATATTCTCAGGTTTTAAGTCTCTATGTATTACTCCTTTTGAATGAGCCCTCTCTAATAGATTTACAGCCTGTATTCCAATAGTTAAAACTGATTTCAGGTTGAATTTCTTAAGTTATTTGAAATGGAATGCTAAATCTTTGCCCAACAATTAAATAACAAGGATGTTATAACCGAGATCTTCTCCTGACCAATAATATTTAGGAAATCCCTCCAGTCCATCTAGAATCTTTAAAATCTGCACTTCTCTTTCCAATGATTTGACTTCTTCATTCTCTTCTTTTTCTACTTTTATAGCCACTTCTTATTTAGAGATAATGTCTTAGCCAAGAAATACAACTCCAAAAGATCCAGAAGATAGCTTTTTAACAATGGAATACTAGTTGTTAAACACTTTGGTTTTAGATTACTGTTGTTGGTTCATTTCGATTAATAATAATAAAATAAGCAAGAAATGTCTCAATTTATTAAAACAGCAACCCCTAAGAAAATTTTTATGGTTGAAAAAGGATTCTATTCAATTAATTTATAGGATGGAACTATTGAGAAGTTAGGACCTGAAAAGAAATGTTATAAGTTACCCTCCTATTCTTCTCATACATCTTCAAATACATAAAAAGATTTATTTTAATCTAAAAGATAACAAAATTAGGAATCCAATCAAAGAGTATATAAATTATTTGATTATTATTAGAATAATTAAGAAGCAAAGAAGGTTTAAGAAAATACTAAAAAACTTAATACATAAAGGAATAATTGACTAATTAAAGTTTAGAAATTAATTATTTATTACATATTTAACATATTTTTTAGTATTTAAAGTATTTGAAAAAGACTCAAATGTCATTTCAATTAACTGGAATAAGTATAATTTGTTTTCTTACAAAATTAAATAATTTAAACCAAAATAAATAGGTAAGATTGTATAACAAAATAAAGAAAATAAATATAAATAATTATATTTTTCATTTGAATACTAAAATACTTAAAATATATTATTAAATTAGTTAAAGATCAAATAATATAACATTTCTTCTTTAAATTACTTGAGATTTAGAAAATAACATATATTTCTTATATGTATTAATTTATATCTTCGCCTTAGATAAATTAACTTTTTTATATCCTCAAAAAATAATAATATATATACAGAATTAAATTATAAAATATTAATCCAATTATTCTAACTTATTTTATCATCTAATTAAATTACTATATATATTATTGATAGAAGTATATTTTAATGGTAAAATGGAGTTAAAGCTATTTTTTAATAGTTTGAATTAAGAACTATTATGAATATTCAATTTTTTTTATTAGATTTTAATAATAATTCAGATCTACAGAAATATTTAACAAAAATCGATTAATAATTATCAAAAGTTTATTAAATAACTCCAATCTTTATGATTATAATATTTAGTTTACTTTTGATATTATTAATAAGAAAAAGATAATTTTTATTATCTAACATATAATTTATTCCTTTGATAAATTTTTACTTCAAGTAACAAAAATAAATAAAATACTTAATTTACCTTTTGATTTATATAATTATAATATTAATATATTCAAAAATAAGTATTATTTCAATTTATACATTTTTGTTTTTTCTTAGAAACACTAATCAAATCTTGGTAAAATAGTACTAATCATTATTGAAGGGTAATAAACTTAAATTATTCATTATCATAATTAATATTGATAATTATCCTGATTGTAGATTGATTTTTAAATATTTAAATAAACTATAAAATAGTAAATTTAGAATTTTAATTATAAAATTTTAGTTATCTTTCTATTTGATAATTAATTGTTTAGAATTTATATAAAAAAAAATTTTTTTTTAAATTAATTAAGTTCTTCTCAATATTCATTTATAATTTAATATTTAAATGGAGAAATTGTATTACAAAATTTTTGATAAAATCTTGTTAATCAACAAAATTAATTGAATGATAATCAAATTTGAATTTTTTAGGTATGAAGCACGATATTTTTAAATGACGCATCAATTACACTGCATTATGAAATGATTATAATTAGTAAATGATTCATTATAAAAATGAGTCAAAGGCTTGAGTTGCTCTAAAAATAAATTCCTTCCTTCTAATATACACTTGATGGAGGGATTTTAACTAAAGAAGAAAGATAGTTTTACGAAGAAAACGGGTTCATAGTGGTTAGATAAATCTTTACTCCTGAAGAAGTGAAAGAGTGGACTTAAAGATTCAGAGAATATGCTGATGGACAACTAGAACGCAAATACGGAATGTAAGTTGTAAGAGACATTTCATTGGTGAAAAAAGGAGGAGGAAAATAATGGGGAGAAGAAGCAATAACTAAAATATAGGACTGGTAAGAGGATGAAGTATTATTCAAATTTTGCTAAAACCCTAAAGTTATTTAATATCTTAAAAGCTTCTGTGGACCTGACATTAAATCTGTTCACACAATGTTCATCAATAAACCCCCTAATATGGGCAAAACATCAAGACACCCAATTCATTAGGACTAAGTTTATTTTCCATTTGGACCAGCTGATAGAATAGCTGCTGGTTGGGCTGCACTTGAAGATGCCAATAGAGAAAATGGATGTTTAGTTGTATATCCTGGTACTCATAAAGGTAATTATACACTTGTATCAATTAGTTGGCCCAGTTGAACATTGTTATCCTGATTGGAAGGAAGGTGTTAATAAGGCCTATTGGGGAGTTAAAGATATGCCCCCAGAAAATGCTCCAAAAATTCATTTGGAAATGAAGGCAGGAGACATTGTTTTCTTTCATCCATATCTATTTCATGGTTCAGGAGAAAATAGAGTAAATTTTATAAAATAAATTTTAGACAACAAATTTCAGAAAGTCAATTTGTTGTCATTTTGCTTCTGCCAATTGCCAATATCATGACATAAAGGGAACATTCCACGAAAATTTGGCTAAGGACATTATTGCTTATGCTTCAAAGAAGTTTGGGCATGTCAATTACTTAGATATTTGGAGATTTAAATGCAGGTTGGTCTAAGGCAATCCTGATCCACTAGGATTATGATAAAAATATATTATAATCCAAATACATAAAATTTAATTATTATGATAATTAAGTAAAATATTAAAAATCTATAGAAAAATTTATAAAGATACTAGGCAAACTCTAATTATTACATTCTTTCCAATTATTTGAGAAACAAAAAAAATAATTTAATTTATATAATTTGATTTTTTAATTTCATAATGGATTAGAATGACTAATATTTCATTTGTAATATTAGAATATATTCATTTAAAATACTGCTTTTATTTGTTTATATAAAAAAAATAATTTAAATATTTATGTTGTTCTAAATAGAGTTATCATTCGAATAAATAATGATAAATCTAGTTATTATCTATTTTTATTATTTACTATAATGAATTCATTAATTTTAGTTAAAAGGCAATTTAAATAGAAAAATAAAATGGTTTATAATCTGAATCAATGGATTTGATATTTAATTTATGCATGCTAAAGATTTCATTTAGGAAAAACTAAAATACTAGAAATACATCGCCGAATATGTTCTAAGTTTAATAGAAATCTATTGATGATTAGGGCAGTTTATAAAGATTTTTAGATTAAATACTTTAATGTCTTTTAAAATAAGAAATAATTTTCTGTTAACAAAATCTACTATTTTATTCCAAAACTGAAATAAAAATTTATTCAGTATAAAAAGCTATATAATAGAAGCTATAATAATAAAATATATGATAAAATTTATTTGATTTATATCAAAATTCTTATTTTTGTTAAAATTAATTATAAATAACATATATATAAAAGATATAAAAATAGATTAATGAGAGTGATTTTGTCAATCTTTTTTTTTCCTATTTCAAATAGCAAACCTAAATCATAATAGAAATTTAATCTGCTTTATTAAAAAAATTAAGTTTTCCCCAATTTTAACTAAACATATATACAATTAAATAGAAAATGTTCTTAATTGGTTGCAAATGAAAATCTCTTATTGATTTAAGTTTATAATAACATAATTTAAAGTTTTCATTGTTATATCTATTTCATAATAATTGTTAATTATAACTTTATCGAGTTTGTTTATTATAATATATTAAATATAAAAATATGTAATTGATGAAAATTTTAAGATTAGGAATTTCAAAAGGACTAAATTTTGAGTTAATTTAATTCTTACCCTATGGCCTTTTGATAGGAAAGAATAAGAACTTAGCGTTTGCTTTTTGGGCATTATTATTATTTGAGTTTTGCATTTGAGATTTAAGCATATAATTATTAAAATTATCAGATTTAATTAAAATATTATATATATAAATATATATAAATTAAATTTAATATGATTGAATAGATTGAATAATAGATATGCTAAGGAAAACTGTTTTCAGGGAAATTATGAAAAAGTTTTTTGGAATGATTGGATTTATTGAAAAATCAAAAATGTAGAAATTCAACTGTTTCACAGATGTTCAAATAAATAAAAAAAAGAAGTAGTTCTTTGTTAATAATTTTTTTTGTAATTATGAGGATTCAAACTATTTTGAGAGAATAGTAATTTCAATTTAAAATATATAGATTTGAAGGGACTTCAGGATAATTATTATTTGGATTTATCAAATAACAAATTACATCTGTTTACAAGATAATATTCAGTAAATTCTATAAGATGATTGAATTTTTAATCAAGTCTTATTATTGGCACATTTGAAAATAAAAACAGATATTATTCATCTAAACATTAACAAGACCCTTAATTTTCTGCCCTTTTGGATTTTAAATTAGTAGCTTTTTTAATACAAATTATAGTAAACAAAACAATCATAGAAGCTTTAAAATTTATAGAGTTGGTTTACTTTATATAAATTAATTCCACGAAGAGAATTGTAATAAGTGTGTTTACATATTAAAACGATAATATATAGAATATGATGCCAAAATAATTTGAAAGTATTAAATATTTGCTATTGGAAATCAAGATCTTCAATAATAATAATAATAAAACATTATTGATCAAAATATTAAGTTCTAGATATAAAATTTTTTATGTTTAATAATGATTTTAATAATAAAAGAATTAATAGGATGTAAAATAAAATAATATTGATATATAAAAGATAATTAAAGTATTAAATTATTAGGATTTCACTATTTAAAAGAGCATAGAGCAATTCGATAATTGACTAAATTAGATTAAACTAATTACAATCTAAATGTAAAAATATAGAGGCTTGAATTAAATAATTAATTTGAGCATTCAGTTGATAGAAATAATTATAGATGTAATTCAGTACATTTATTTGAATTATAAATAAGATAAGATTAAATATAATAGAATAATATAAGATTATTGGAAATATGAAAGATGAGAAAAAAGAATCTAGAAATGCCAAATATTTTTATCAAATTTATTCTTTTTCTTTTAATAGTTTTTTTGACTCAGAAGGATAAATTTGATTCAAATATCAAACTTACATTAATTTACTGATAAATATTAATTCGACATATTAAATTAAATTTTTCTGGAATATCAGGATGAAACTTCCAGATCATATAATATAAAAATTAACTAAAATTACTAAATGACAACAGTTATTCCACTCGATCAAGAGACAAATTAACTTAATGCATCTAGTTAACCTAATGAGACCAATATCGAAGACTATGACGAATTTCGAAGACCACCAATATTGGAAATATGTCTTAAACACCAAGTATATGATTTAATGAATTTAGTCTGCAACATAATTTGCTATAGCAGATGCTAAAGTTGATTTAAATAAGAATAATTTATGTCCTTGTTGTGGACAACCTGTAATTCTTACTTAATTACCATTGACAGCATCTATTTTAGATTTCAGTTTCAATGGACCTGGTGTTTCACTTTATTTTGATTTCTTGGTATTTAGTTCTATATTGATTTCTACATTTATGTAATGTATTTATGAATTATTATAGTATTATTTGTGGAATCTATGACATAATAGCAAGTTCTTTAGGAGAGACATGTTAATTATTAAATGAATTAGGAGAATTAGAATGTATAGACAATTTTTATAGTTAATTTGCTAAATCAAATTAAGATAATAAGGATGTTGATATAGCAGGAAGTGTATTAAATTTTATTACAACATTAATCTTAATAGTATTATTGTTTTTATACAGAAAAAGAATTAATATTTTAGCAAATAAAATTGATGAAAAAAGTATATTAGCATCAGATTATTCTATAATTGTTGAAAATATTCCAAGAGATGCAAAAGAAGAAGAGATTAAAGAATTCTTTAGTAAAATTAATAATCATGAATATAAAATATAAAAGATTTGTATGGGATTTTAGATCTAATAGTATTTACAAATTTTAAAACAAAAATAAGATTAAGAGAAGACTTTTACTAAGATTTTAGAATGTGAAAGATTAGGTAAACCAATTCCTCCTTAATTACCAAATAAAGTTGATTTAACATAAACATTAGATTAATTAGCTAATCAATTAGATAAATATGAAGAAAATTTTGAAACTTCCTTTTAATTTAGTGGTGTTGCTATTATTTCATATAATACAGAAGATGAAGCTAATGCTGTATGCAAATTTTTTAGAGCAACAAGATTACATCTTATTCTATCTTAAGTTATGAGAGTAATAGGTTAAAAAGATATAAGAAGATTTAGAGATAATGTTATTGTAGTGTCAAAAGCACCTGAACCTGGAGATATTTTATGGGGAAATTTGGGAGTCACATTATTAGAATAATATAAAAGAAAATTAATAACAAATTTAGCAACAATATTTTTATTAGGAATTTGTTTTGGAATTTTATTTGGATTATCTTATGGTTAATTTTCAATGACTGATACAGGTAAAGGAGAAGAATTATCATAAGCAGAAATTATTGCAATTACAGTTTTAGGAGTTATTGCTTCTGTTTTAATTTCAATTATCAATAATATTTTGGCTATTATTATTAGAAAATTTGCTGAATTAGAAGCTCCAGCAACTAAAACTGAATATGATATTAGTGCTGCAAAGAAATTAGGATTTGCTTAGTTTCTTAACACTGCAATTATCACATTAATTGTTAATTTGGTAATTATAAAAGAAGGAGAAAAATCATATTATGCTGTAATTAAATAAGGAGGTTTAAATTAAGATGTTATGTTGATCTTTATTACTAATGGAATTATGCCTTGGTTAACAAGTATAATTGACCCATTCTACTTATATAAATTATTTATGAGATTTTAAATTCAATCTTAAGGTTAGACATGTAATGTAACATAATAAGAAGCAAATGAGTAATTTATATTATTAATTCTAGGCATTTTGCAGGACCTATGATTGATTTATCAAAAAAATATGCATAATTAGGAAAGACTTTATTATTTACATTCTTCTATGCATATCTATTACCACTTGGACCAGTACTTTCATTAGGCTCATTATTAGTGATATATTGGGTTGAGAAGTTTCTATTACTTAGAAGAGATTCTAAGCCAGCCCCAACAGGAAGTGAGATGGCAGAAGAGATGATAGACTTTTTTGGAGAATTCACTTTATTACTTTATGCTGTATTAAAAATACTATGAATTAGATTGGTTGTCTAGTTTGGGAAACTATTTTAAATGAAACCATATTTCCTTTAACATGGGTACAATTTGCAATAGCAATATTGAATTTCTTAATTCCCATAGATACAATATTTGATTCATTTTGGAAAACTGAAGATATTTCAACTCAAGAATTCTATGACACTTAATGTTATAAATTTTGGGATGATTATGATAGAAGAAATCCAATTACAGCTGAAAAAGCCATTGAAACATTTTTGAAGAATACAACTGAAGCACCTTAATAATAATAAGTAGATGGAAGAGGAAATATTGTACCAAAGTTTTAAGATTATAAGAAATAAGATAAAAAGAAAAAGAATAAAAATAAAAATAAAAAAGAGAATTGAGAAAATATTATTATTTAAAATAAAAATATGAATTAATCATCTATTATATTAGAAGATAATAAATACCATTCTGCTTAATAAGAAGAAGAAGAACGTATGTTGACAGCAAAAGCATGTGATTTAAAGAAGGCATTAATTTATAGAAAGTTTCAACAAAATGAAAGAAAGGAAGAGTTGGAAGATATCAATTAATTATTTGATGAAAGATAATTAAATATTTTGAATGATCTTGCTAATGATAATGGAAATTATGAAGAATAAAATCAAATAGCTACTATAAGATAGGAAGTTAATAAGAAATTATAAACGGTAATGGAACATGGTCTGAAACGACATTCTATTTATATTATGAAAAAACCAATAGAAAATAAAAGAATATTTAATATTGAAGTATTCAAACCTGAAGACAGATTTAGAATTATTTGGGATTTATTCACTATGTTGATTATCTTTTTTGCTATATTAATTTTACCTCTTGATATTAGTTTTACAATTGAATCATAATTTTTTGATTACTTTAATTATGCTTCAATTGCAATATTCAGTTTTGATATTCTCATTAATTTCAATACTTCCTATTAATAAAAAGGTCAATACATAATTGATCGTAAACTTATAGCTAAACATTATTTGATGGCATGGTTCTGGATAGATTTGAGTATATTATTAATTAAAACTAGTTTCAACCTTTCCTTTTGATATCATTATTAATGCTTCAACAGAAGAAATTATACAATCTGATGAAATGGATGAAACTTAAACATAAAATCCATAAAATTAATAATAATAATCAGATTAATTAGCTAATACTTTTAAATTATTAAGAATTTTAAAATTTTTTAGATTTATTAAAGTAATTAGATTATTAAGAGTATTAAAATTAAAAAAGATATTTTCTAAATTTGAAGATTATGTTGATTTTTCAAATTCTATGATTTCACTTTATAAAGTGTTAAAATTAACATTTATAATGCTCTTTGTAGCACATTGGTTGGCATGTATTTGGCATTTTATAGCTGATTAAGAAGATTCAGCTGATAGTCATAGTTGGCTTAGAGCTCAAAATTTATAAGATAGTGATTGGTATGTTAAATATATAGCATCAGTTTATTGGGCAACAGCAACAATGACTACTGTAGGTTATGGTGACATAACACCAGTAACATCAGTAGAAAAGATATTTGGTATAGTAGTTATGTTATTGGCTTGTTGTATATTTGCATATATTATGAACAGTATTGGTGGAATATTTGTATCAATGGATTATAATGAGAAGTTGATTAGATAAAAGATGGGATAAGCTAATTAATTTTTAAAATCTAATGACATTCCTAAAGATTTATAAGCTAGAGTAAGAAAATATTTGGAATATAAATATGAAAAAGAATCTACATAAGTAAATGAAAAGGAGGCATTAGATGTTTTATCATATTCTTTAAGAGTAGAAGTATTAGCTGCAGTTAATACAGATTTGATAAATAATTCAAAAGTTTTTAAATAGAATAAATTTGAAAAGGAATTGTTATTACAATTGCCATTTGAATTAGAAGAATAAATCTTTGGTCCTGAAGAATGTATATTTTTAGAAGGTGATGATCCTATAGAATAAGAAAATGGATAAAATATTGAAGATAGATGCCTGTATTTTCTCAATAAAGGATAGGTTATGTTATGTATTTAAAAAACTTTTACTTGTTTAAAGACATTAGATAAAGGTGCTACATTTGGAGAACTTGGATTTTTTAGTAATAAATCAAGAAGTGCATCTGCTTATACACTTGATTTTGTTTATGTTTAAAAATTGAAAAAAAAGAAATTTACAGAAATTTTAAAGAAATATTAAACTTAAAATTAATTTTTTTAAATGAATAAACATATAATTGAATTAGGAGATGATTATTCTCCACTTGGTTTACCTTGTTTTGGATGTTAATAAATTAATCATTTTTCATCTACTTGTCCTAAATTACATTTTGTTACTAATAATGATAGAAAATAAGAATTAATATTAGAATTATAACAATAATAATAAAAATTTACAAAAGAATTTAAAAGACATGAAAAAATTAGATATAATTCTAGAGGTTGTTTTAGTCTAACAAATGAAGTTGCTAATGAAATCAAGTAGGTTTATTCTGCTTAAGAAGAAGGAGATGAAGATAGATTGATTAAATTATAATAGTATATAACTTTAATAAAAATAGACGCAATGAAGAAGAACCCACTTAAGAGGGTTTTGAAGTTATGGAGAATTAAAAAGAAATTAAAAGTTAACATTAAGATGAATTTGAAAGAATGTATATTATGACTGCATTCTTTACTTAATTCAACATTGATGAAATTATGAAAATTTATAATGAAAGAGTTGATAATATTCTCAATTTACAATAGTAAGTTTAAGAACATAGTATAAGATCTCAATATCATTCTATTAAAACTAATACTAAGAAATCTAGAATTAGATCAATGTCTGCTGAACGTGCCATATATTTTGAGAAATTAATTGAAAAATATGGTGGTCCATCTTAATTTTTAGAAAAATTAAATTAAGATAATTGATAATAATAATATTATTTATATATGTAATAACTCAAATAATTGGTATATATGAGATAAATGCCTTCAAATTTAATAGCTTTTTCATCTAAAGAAGGCAAAAGATTATTCAAAGAAGCATTAGATTAAAATACTATGGAATGTTATTTTCCTCTTGCTGAACAATTTATTACTTAATTGCATCCTACTACTTGTGGATCAACAACATTAGTTATGGTATTAAATGCTCTTAAAATTGATCCAGGTGTATAATGGAAAGGGTATTAGAAAAATTAAATAATAGAATATGGAAATGGTATACAGAAGAGAATTTACATGGTTTAAAAAAAGAACATTTAGAAAATGGTATAGATTTAGATGCATTTTCACATATTGCAAAACATAATAAAGTTGCTATTCAAACATTTTATCATCCAAATTTATATGAATAATAATATGAATAAAAAAAGTAAGATTGTATAGTATAAGTAAAGCTTTTATGATTGTTAATAAAATTGCACAAGAATTCAAAATTAATATAAAATAGCATCATTATAAACATTCTATACATGTTTAGAAGCTTCATCTAGAATGGATAGACTCTTTATGGTAGTAAATAATAGTAGAAAAATAATGGGATAAACAGGAGAAGGACATTTTTCACCAATAGGAGGAATTCATTTAAAAGAAAAGAAAGTAATGCTCTTTGATGTTGCAAGGTATGTGAAATAGCAATATAAGATTCAAGTATCCCCCTTAATGGTGTGATTTTGATTTATTATATAATTCGATTGCTCCAATAGATAAGGATAATAATATGACAAGAGGATTTGCATTAATAACTAAAACATTAGATTATGATATTTAAAATTAATACTCAAGATAAGTTCTATAGGATTGGTTTAAAAATAAAACTGAAACTAGTGATTTGCCAAATCAATTATCAGTTATATTTGTTTATTATTTGTTTATAGTATTGTAAAGAATTGAAATGTAAATTACAAATATTCATACAATACCATTTTAATTAGCATTGAGGGAAGAATCTAGATATAATATTGATTAAGCATTAATATAGATTAAAGGATAGAAATATCTACATAATTTAATTAGTGATTTTACTTTTTAGTATCCTGATCTAATTACAACAATAAGTTGTCTTTTATATAATATTTTATGTGGTTATTAAATAAGTCATAGAGAATTGACAGAAGAATATGAATTAATGAGAATGATATTAGCAATTTGATAAATTATTATATTAATTAAAATTAATAGAATTATTTTCACTTAAAAGATTATAATCTTAAAGGTGAAGTACCTCCTCCTCCATTTCCAGTAGTATTATGTGCAATTTTCTTAACTGTTTTAATACTTTAAAATGTTTTAGTAAATGGTTTTTTTAATGATTCAGCAATTCTCAATCCTGTAATTTTATCACCTAATTTTCTAAGTTTCCAACCTTTCTTAATGGTTAAAAAGAAAAATGAGTATTTAGAGAATTCAGGATAGAGTCTTCTTTTTCCAAAGAATTTTTAAAGTCTAGCATATCTAAATAAAATATAATATATTTATACCTTTTAATAACAATATCATAATTATTAAGAGGGAAATAATATACAAAGATTTACATTTTATCAAAGTCATTAAAAATAGAATTATTTGTATGTTAATTATAAGTTTAATTATCCATAATAGAAGTATGATTATTATCTGTTGTCATTTCTCTTCCTTAATTTCTTGTAAATGTTCTTGTAGTATTTGATTATCTTTTTTAAGTTGCTCTTTTTTAATGATTTCTCACTTCTAAATCTGATGAATTTGGTGGGAATATCTTTTCTGGAGTCAATGTTCTTTTTATAGTTTAAGATTATCTTCCTTTTTATGTATAAGTATGAGATCTAAGTGAAGATTAACGAGGTATAATTTCTTCTGATGAATCCTTTCTTGTAAAAGTAATTTTTTATTATTAAGTTCTAGTAATTTCTTAATTTTATTTTGTATTTATTGGTAATTACATTAATACTTAATCCTTTTCTTCTTCTGATTCTTCTTCAGAAATTTCTTAATATTCATCATCCTTCATTAAATCTACTCTAACACTATCTCTCATTCCTCCACCAAATCCAGCTGTTTATAAAGTAACTCTAGGATTTACTGGTTTTCTTGAATAATTTTTAGAATCATCATCTTCATTTTCTGTTATCATATTTTATTAATTAGGTTTTTGACTAATCTTACTAAATGATCTAGAATTACTTCTTTAATTCAAAGATGATGGAACATCTATTTCAACTTATCAATATTAAATAATAATATTACTATCATCTTCATAAACATCATTCATTAAATTAGAATGTTATTCATAATCTTCAAAATCTGTTCCTTTATTTGCCAAATATTATTATTCTTATTAAATCTCTCTAGCCTTACTCATTAAATATTTCTATATTAACCATGGACTTACTTCTTTCTCCCTATTTACTCTACCTATTTTATTGTTTCTTGGTTAATCATGAGGATATAATTCTTTCTTTAATATACTTTCCTTATCAGGACAATAATGTAAATAATGACATTTATCAATTAAATGCTAATTACTTGAACAACTATAACAACTAACTTAAAATGAACTATAATCTTAATGTAATAGTGTATGTGTCAATTAACAATATTTCTCATAATCATTTGGATATGATAACAAAATCTTAATAAAATTTTCCCTTTTAATTTTAAACACTTTTGTAAATGCTCTAGAAATAGCAGTTGCTTTTCTAGGTTAACCTGTAAAAAATGAGAATTCTCCAAAATAATCTCCTTAATATAAAAACTTCAAACTATTCCTTTAAACTCTTTCATTTAAACTATTAAAACCTTCAAAAATAATTTCAATCTCTCCTTTAGTTATAATATATAATGAAGAATCATCTAATTAATTTAATGTAATAATTCTCTCTTCTGGAGAAAAACTCTATTCCTCCATCTATCCCAATAATTATTTAATCATTTTTTCTGAAAATGTCTTTATCAACACTTTACAACTACTTAAAATATTTCCTCTTAATTAATACTATAATTCCTCTTATAAATTACTACTCAATTTACAAATTAAAGATGAAACCTCTTCGTCATTCATATTTTATTCTTCTTACCAAATATATTCTAAATAACTTCTAATTCTTGTTTATAATTCAAATTAAATCTTATTCTTTGACATAAATGNATGAATCCTTTCTTGTAAAAGTAATTTTTTATTATTAAGTTCTAGTAATTTCTTAATTTTATTTTGTATTTATTGGTAATTACATTAATACTTAATCCTTTTCTTCTTCTGATTCTTCTTCAGAAATTTCTTAATATTCATCATCCTTCATTAAATCTACTCTAACACTATCTCTCATTCCTCCACCAAATCCAGCTGTTTATAAAGTAACTCTAGGATTTACTGGTTTTCTTGAATAATTTTTAGAATCATCATCTTCATTTTCTGTTATCATATTTTATTAATTAGGTTTTTGACTAATCTTACTAAATGATCTAGAATTACTTCTTTAATTCAAAGATGATGGAACATCTATTTCAACTTATCAATATTAAATAATAATATTACTATCATCTTCATAAACATCATTCATTAAATTAGAATGTTATTCATAATCTTCAAAATCTGTTCCTTTATTTGCCAAATATTATTATTCTTATTAAATCTCTCTAGCCTTACTCATTAAATATTTCTATATTAACCATGGACTTACTTCTTTCTCCCTATTTACTCTACCTATTTTATTGTTTCTTGGTTAATCATGAGGATATAATTCTTTCTTTAATATACTTTCCTTATCAGGACAATAATGTAAATAATGACATTTATCAATTAAATGCTAATTACTTGAACAACTATAACAACTAACTTAAAATGAACTATAATCTTAATGTAATAGTGTATGTGTCAATTAACAATATTTCTCATAATCATTTGGATATGATAACAAAATCTTAATAAAATTTTCCCTTTTAATTTTAAACACTTTTGTAAATGCTCTAGAAATAGCAGTTGCTTTTCTAGGTTAACCTGTAAAAAATGAGAATTCTCCAAAATAATCTCCTTAATATAAAAACTTCAAACTATTCCTTTAAACTCTTTCATTTAAACTATTAAAACCTTCAAAAATAATTTCAATCTCTCCTTTAGTTATAATATATAATGAAGAATCATCTAATTAATTTAATGTAATAATTCTCTCTTCTGGAGAAAAACTCTATTCCTCCATCTATCCCAATAATTATTTAATCATTTTTTCTGAAAATGTCTTTATCAACACTTTACAACTACTTAAAATATTTCCTCTTAATTAATACTATAATTCCTCTTATAAATTACTACTCAATTTACAAATTAAAGATGAAACCTCTTCGTCATTCATATTTTATTCTTCTTACCAAATATATTCTAAATAACTTCTAATTCTTGTTTATAATTCAAATTAAATCTTATTCTTTGACATAAATGTATTAATTAATGTAACACTTCTACTATATTCCATTGCCCCTTTATACATATTTGATACAAATATTCCTATACTGTTAACTGAATATGCAAATACTATTGATGCTATTAACATAGTCAAATTATTCATCAATAATTCTAAATTATTTTTAGCTGTTATATCACCATAACCAACTGTTGTCATTGTCATAGTAGCCCAATAAAATGCTGTATTATATTTAGATGCATTCCCTTTATCTCTTAAATCATAAGCATCTAACCAAGAATAACCATCATTATAAAATGCTAATCCATGCCAAACACATGCACAAATATGTGCTATAAATACTATCATCATTGTTAACTTTAATAAACCTACCAAATCATTTAAAGAACCATATAAATTAAAGAATCTAATAATACTATTCATATTTACTCTTATATTTATGCCAAAATCTTATTTATTTTTGTCATTCGGAGAACATAAAAAATTGCACAGAGAACTATTTAAATGATCAACATTTAATTTGATTCATTATCATTTGTGAGAATAAAGAATTAAAGAGTCACTGTACTCAACGAAACCTTAGATCCTTATATATTAACCATCTTATACCAAATCAACAAATGCATATTATCGAAAATAATTTATTAATATTCGTTTTCTATTTCGAATTATAATCCCTTTATATATAAATGCTAAATTCAAACCAACAAATACATCTAAACTCAATATAGATAAAAACACTATTTCCAGAGATTACTTATATATACTTATTCCTAAAAAATCTCCTATTGATTCCAATTTGAATGAGATTTTATATGGTAGCCAAAAGAATATTAATAAATATGTTAATATTTAAAACAGGCCCCAAATAAATATTAATTAACTATAAGGAGTAAATACTTCAATATAAGAAAAAAATCTTTTAATAGCTTCCCATCTAGTTAATGTTCTCTTATCATTATGTAAATAAGCTTCATTTTCTAATTATAAATCATCCAATGCTTATATTTAATAAAGTGAAAGTTGATGAAGCTTTCTTAAATAAGATCTATTCCATAGATTGTTAATAAAATTATTTTAAAAGCTCTTTGCTATAATCAATTTCAAAAATTATGGTTTTCCTCCTTATTCCTCTTCATCTTCTATTGCATAAGCAGATTGATATTCAGATTTTCTCATATTCTTCATTGATTTATGCATATCAATAGGCATCATGTGAATTGATTGTTAACTTATATCTCCTAATTTCTACTATTCCGGAACTGTAAAGGAATTCCAACTGCCAGGTAGATTTCTATTCGATTCCCCTTCTCCAAGGACTATTCTCCCTGAAATCATCCCTGAATTTGGACCTTAAAAGAACTCATCTTACAAACTAAATGAGTTTTGAACATGCTCATTTGAAATGTTCATTAAATATATTATTATCATTTTACAGTAATCATCATATATATATTAATTAATATCAATTTTAATCTTATAAGATTACTATTCAAAAGGAATTTCTAAAACAGATTAAGCCAACTGATGCTAAATTAAATTATTTAACTTATTTCAATAAAATGTTGATTTTCTACAATTATTAAAGTGAATATTATATAAATTGATAAAATTTAGCCTCTAAAAAGTAAAGAAAATTTCCATATTATTATTTATACAAATCTATGTGTTGTCAAATAACTTTTGTTCTTTAAAAAATAGTCATTGGGAAACTTCAATTAATTAATCAAATTTTTATATCAATTTAATGAATTGATGAATTTCAATTATACTACAATAATATTATTTATAACGACATAAGAAAATGATTATTGAAAATTTAGTTTATAACAATCATGTCTTATCAATTACAGATTATTTACTTAATTATAATTGGATTAAATTTTTGTATGTGAATATTCAATTACTAAAATAGTCCTTTTATGCTTTGTTCATACAAAATTTACTTTAATATAAAAATTCAATACAATTAGAAATTTTCATCATAAAAAATATACTTTTTATCACAATAGAAATTAATCCTTTTTGAGTAGAAACAATATTATTTAATTTATACAATTTTATTGAATTTTATTATTTAATATTAATGTCACTACAATTTACTCACCATAGTGAATTTGCTTCAAAGAAGTTTGGTTCAAATTTGCTGGGCTTTTAGAAGTTTCTAATAAAGTATTTACGCATTTCTTCCCAACAAAATAGACACATTGAATATGGGAGACCGGGCATACTATAAAGGTATAATTAATTATTAATACCCTAAATTAAGTATATCGACTGGTCTAGCACCAAACCAAGTATTGACTCCTGGAATGTAGACTATGCAAAGGAAAATAATGGTTTCAAGTATAACTCCATAAAACATGACAGTGTTAATAGGTGAATAAATCAATGACATTTTACGTTCTATTTGATATAAAATAAGTATATTACATTTGCATGAAAACACATTAGACCATTGGACCAATACAACAGCAACAAAGTAAGAGGTTTAAGCATATTTAAGTGCTGCAGTTTTGAAACAAGCATTTGTATTGATTGGATATCCAGATCCTTCAAGAAGTGAATCAGATCTATCAAAGTATCTGCATAATTGATCAGAAAATTGATTATCCCATTCATTAAATGTAGGGAACCATCTACTTTAGGTTTTATCATAAGTAACGAAGATGTATCTTAAATCATAATAAATGATTTCTGGATTTATCCAATTCAATGGAATGTTTTAGAATCCAATTGTATCTTCTAAATCAATAGCTCCTTTAGAATTTAATGCTGGACTCAAAACTGGTGCCATTTACCAATTAGGACTGTAAGGTTGAGTTGTTAAAAATGGACTAAAATAATATATAGATAAACTAAATACTTGTTCATATTAGGCATATCCCAAACCCAACTTGTAGGAGGTGGAGCATATTTTTATCCATTTGCAAGTGTAATAGGAGCCCAAGGAATCTATTGATATGGTTTGTTCATAAAATTAAGAAGTAGATTTGGAGGGAATCCATATTCATTCATTGTACTAAAATAACTAAAGAATCCTGCAGATGTGGCTATGACTCCTTATAATAGATAAGCATGTGTGATTAATCTAAGAGATACTAAATGGTCATCCTTCTTTCTTGGTTTACGTGTCATAATATCAATTTCAGCTTCTTCATAAGCAAATGAAATAGCAGGTAAAATATCAGTACCAATACAAATAGTGAGAATAAAGGCATTACTTAATGGAAGTGGTAAACCAATAGCAATTTCACCTACGTATGGGAAAACTTCAGTAATATTAGATGTAAGAAGATAGACAATAGTTTTTTTAAGATTATCAAAAATCTTTCTTCCTTCTTCTACACCATCAACAATTGAAGCAAAGTCATCATTCAATAAAATCATATCTGCAGCATCTTTAGTAACATCAGATCCACTAATACCCATTGAAATACCAATATCACCTTATTTGATTGCTGGTGAATCATTGACACCATCTCCTGTAACTCCTACTACATGACCCAAATATTAACAAGCTCTAACAATCATTAATTTTTATGCTGGTGATGTACGAGCAAATACAACTTAAGGTTTACTGCACCAACTTCTTAATTTTCTATCTTTCATTTCTTCAGGTAAATTTTCTCCTTAAGATGCTTCCTCTTCAAGTGCTTAAACAATTAGATCACCATGAATAACAATAGCTGGAGCAAGTCTAAAAGCATCTTCATATGACATAGATGGATTCTCATCCAAAAGATCATCAACTGTCTTACCAGTGATGATACCAATTTATTTAGCAATAGCACCTGCAGTAGGTGGTTAATCTCCAGTAACCATAATAACCTTAATACCAGCAGATTAACATTTTCTAATAGCTTGAGGAACTGTAACTTTTGGAGGATCCATCAATGATAACAAACCCAAGAAAGTAAATCCTTCTAATCTAAATTTAAGTGTATCAACAGAATTTAAATTAAATTAATATCCTTTATGATATTCAGCTCTTGGCAAATGTAATTTTGCAAATCCTAAAACTCTTTCTCCACCTTTACCAAATGTTAAATTAACTTATTTGAATTTCTGAGTAATTTATTCATCAATTGGTTGATTTCTACCTTCAACTAAAAGATAACTACAAAATGTCCATAATTTTTCAGGTGCTCCTTTAATATAAACACAATAATAAGAATCATGAGTTTCCCAATTTACAATACAAAGAGAAAACTTATTAGTTGAATTAAATGGCATCTTAGCCAATGATTTATCTGGTAATTCAGCAAATTATCTTCTTTATCTTGTTAATTCAATATCTTCAATTGGTTAAAAGAATTTAATCAATGCAGTTTCAGATGCATCACCAATAGTTGGAGTATCTAACCAATTAATATTTTGTTTGTCTTTAGTTTATATATTAAATTTAGCTTCACTTGTAATAATAGCACAATCATGTAAATCTCTAAATGTAGGATCACTAGTTTCATATTCATATTCAGCATTCTTTCCTGCAATCAATTTATTTAATGCTTTCCTCTTTAATCCATCATACCAAACATTTTCAACACTCATCTTATTTTAAGTCAAAGTTCCTGTTTTATCTGAACAAATGCAACTTGTTGATCCAAGTGTTTCAACAGCTTCCAAATTCTTAACTAACACTTATTTATCTGCCAATCTTTTTGCAGTAATAGCCAAAGAAACTGTAATACATCCCAATAATCCTTCAGGTACATTTGCAACAATAATACCAATAGCTTATCCAACAGCAGTATCTACTGATGCTTTTTCAACAACCAATGAAAGAATTAAAAATAATATACCCAAACTAACAGCAATACAAGAAATCAAAATAACGAATCTTTTTAACTCAATATTTAAAGGTGTTTCTGGTGTTTCTCCTCCTGTTGCCAAATCTGCTATCTAACCCATTACTGTTTTATCACCTATTTATATAACCATTCCTAATCCAGATCCTTCTTTACATAATGTTCCAAAAAATGCCAAATTCTTAGTTTCTAAAGGATTCTCACTTGTACATTCAGTCACTCTTAATAATGGATCACATTCTCCTGTCAAAGCAGAATTATCCACTTTCATTTCTCTAGATTATATAATTCTAATATCAGCTGGTATCTTGTCTCCCATCTTCACTTCAACTATATCTCCAGGCACTATCTTTTCTGCTGGAACCTACTTCCTTTGACCACCTCTAATTACAATACAATTTGATGGCAAAAAATTCTTAAAACCTTCCATCAAAGCATCAGCCTTAGCAGATTAATTGTAAGTAATTGATCCTGTCAGCAAAATAATTGCTATAAGAATAATTGCTAAGAAATAGGCCTTTTTTCATACCCAACCACAAATTAGATTTTGCTCCTAGTGCCTCTGGGTTTACACCATATAGAGCAAAACAAGCAAATGATGCTATCCAAAGTAAAATTGAGAATGGCTAAACCATCTCTTTTATCAATTTAATCCACCATGGAGTCTTCGCTTTTTCTGATAATTTATTATCACCATATTAAAGATTCTTTTATACAGCTTAGTCATCAGATAATCCTTCATCTTTGCTTGTTCCCAATCTATATAATATTATATCTTTAAAATTACCTGTTTGCTAAAACCAATACATCTATTTTATGTTCATCCATGTTCCTATACTCTTCTCCTTTATTTTAAGCCTTTTTCAAAACATCTTGTTTTGTATTTGTAGGTGCATCCACTGGTACTATGACATCCTTAACCATAATTTTTTATTCCTTTGAAATATATTTGTAGATCTTACTTTCATTTGGTTAAGCATCTGACTTTATCTAGAAACTAATGCTTAGGCTTTCATGGAGCTCTTACGAGCTGATTCACTTTACTGCATTCCTAAATCCACACTTTATCTCAGAATTTAGAATCCAGCAACAATCTAAGGATTCGTAGCCTATGTGAAGTTCTACTAACCATCATTCAATGGTCGATACTAAGCCATTCACAATAAATTAAGAAAAATAATATCAAATGAAATTCATTCCATCACACCTTAAAATATAGAATCATAATAATGAGCTAAAGATTGCATCACTAATTAAATCCATATATGTAAAATTATTCTGCTCAAATGAATCAATAAACTTAACTTTATAAAAAATAAACATTTTCCCATCAAATTCACTCCTCTATCAAAATCTATAGTAGAGAAATAAGTGAAGGAAGATTTATATTCAGAAATACAAAATACTAAAAAACATCACCAAGTAATATAAATCCAATTAGATTACAATAATTAACTATAGAATCCTCATGAAATACTTGTTAATTCTAGACTTAATCCTTGACAACTATAATAATGGACATTATGGAAATAATTAAATAAATATTGAAAGAATTCCAAGATGTATTTATACAAGTAATTTTGGAATAAAAATGACTTATAA